TGTGTGGTGATGCTGTGAGGATGGTGTGTGGTGATGCTGTGAGGATGTGTGTGGTGACACTGTGAGGATGTGTGTGGTGATGCTGTGTGTGGTGATGCTGTGAGGATGGTGTGTGGTGATGCTGTATGTGGTGATGCTGTGAGGATGTGTGTGGTGATGCTGTGAGGATGTGTGTGGTGATGCTGTATGTGGTGATGCTGTGAGGATGTGTGTGGTGATGCTGTGAGGATGTATGTGGTGATGTTGCCTCAAGTCCTGCTCTTATTCGTCAGTGAGTCATATGTGACCTTCCTTTTCCTTTACTTTGACTACAGAGAGGTACAGAAAGCAGTCAATACTGCCCAAGGATTGTTTCAGAGATGGACAGAGCTCCTTCAAGGCCCCTCTGCAGCAACGAGGGAAGAAATTGACTGGACTACCAACGAGCTGAGGAACAACCTCCGCAGCATAGAGTGGGATCTGGAGGACCTCGATGAAACCATCAATATCCTTCTCTGTTGTCTGGAAGTATAGAGACTTGGGAACAGGGACAAGAACCAGGTTTTATCCAGATGTCTTGAGCCATAGATGAGAGACTGGTTTTTATAATGATTGATCTGGCTTTTGTTGGTCATTGCCTGGTGATATCAGGGAGGACAGTCTTGTTCTTCTATCTATGGAAAATCCTGCATTATCCAGGCTGCACAGGGTAATGATCATCACTTGGGACCCTGGAGTCAGTCTGTTGGTGTCCTGTTTCTTATTCCACCATTGTAGAAGTGAAAGTAAACTTTTCTTCTCACACAGTAAAATATTAATACTTCTGATATCTGTGAGGGATTTTTCCTCACACACCAAACAGTTCTCCAGCAGACACCAGCTGAGTGTCCTAATGGTTTTGAGACTAGGTACCTGGAGATAGCATGGGCTCCTGTAGTGCTCACAGCCCCCATATCAGATGCCGGGTGCAAACCCCAGGTTCTGACCTGCGCTTCAAACACACTTCCTGTTTAATTCTTTTCAAGAGCAGCTTGTAGAGTTCAGGGAAATGCATTACTTAGTTACTCATGTATTATAAAGTCTCTGTGTGGAAGAATTGTGTGGTTTCCAGGAATGCCACTGTAGTGTGGTGCTCCACAGGCACCCTGTCCACCTCAGGATTATGAAAATTTCATCACAGAAACATTATTGATTAGGTCATTGGCTATTGGTGATTAGCTCAACTTCTGGTCTCTTGCTCAACCCAGGAGTATTGGTGACTGGAAGTTCCTGTTACCAGTCGTAGAGTTGATTTATTTGGTGATCAGAGGAATTTTGTAAGAGTCACCAGTCATCTTGTAGTATGTAGAATCTGGAGACTCCAAGGGCCTTCGGAGCTCTGTGACAGAGATGGAGTTGAAATATATATTTGATACAGTGTCACAGCAGTGATCTGGCTTTGCCACATTAGTAAGCTTCTGTGCTTTAGTTTCCTCTTCAAAAGAACTCTAGGATAAAGAGAGTGCCCAACTTAGGAGTACCAAGAGAGTTGCATGTGTCGAGAGCTTAAAATGGGCCCACCCAGAGTAATTGACAATACAGGATTAGCAGTTGGGCTGGGATGCTCTTTGGTAATAATCTTGATCCCAGCATGCGGGACCAGGTTTCTGGCCCTGTAGAAACACGGGCATGAGTACATGTATCACACTAGCAGTCATTGCTGCATAGCGGTGTATACAGGCCAGTGGTACAGCCTGCTAGTTAGAGCTCAAAAAAAAAAATCTCTTCAAAGACTTCTCCACTTAAGAAGTGATTTTAAAATGCCACTGTCCTTTGAAGAGCTGTCTGTACCATGAAACCATGTTTGGTGAGAGCAGATCCATTATGCTAATTTGTGCAATTGATACTGAGGAGAAAGCCCACAGATCTGACCAATGAACTTGAGATCTGTTGATGCTGAATTGTGCAGTTTTCTGTTCTCAGCCGGAAAGTCTCTGTAACCAAAACTTTAGTTAGATGATATGCTGGTTCCGTGTCTGAATTCTGGTTTGTGTTTTTCTTTGAAATAATGCATCAAGGAAACCAGCTTCTACAAGGTTCACTCACTGGGCAGCATGGGCCTATAGGCACTTGATATGTAGTGTTTAATTTCTGTTCTACAGACCACGGTATTTTTTCTTCATCATTATGGTACTTCTTATGCTGTTATATATGGTGCCTTGTAAGTTAAATAAAATCTGAGGGGATAGGATCAAAAGCAATTTTAAAAGGATATTGTTTCCTCTGAGACAGATCAGGGCATGTAAGTTATGAGGCAAAAGAACAGGAGAGGGCAGTGGGGACAAACGAGCAAAGTATCATGGCACATTTTTATGGAGTGTTACAGAGAAGCTATTGCTTTGCATGCTAACCCAATTTTTAAAAGACTATACAAGTAAAATTTAAAAACCATAAGAAAGAAAGAAAAAGAAAGAAAGAAAGAAGGAAGGAAGGAAGGAAGGAAGGAAAGAAAGAAAGAAAGAAAGAAAGAAAGAAAGAAAGAAAGAAAGAAAGAAAG